AAGCGGATTGTTCAAATATAGCCACTAATTCGAAGGGCGTAAAATATTTGACTTGGTAAATGAAACCTTTAGTTTCTTCACATAAGCGTTTCATCTTTTGCAATTCTATACGTTCTTGAGAAGTTTTTAATAGACGGGAATCTGGCAAAAATGAAAGCAAGTCGATTCGAACTTTCGACTTTTTTGCTGAATAGTATAGGTCTTTGAAGTTTATGTTACTCTTGCTGTTGACACCGTTTGTAATACAAATGATCAATTTATCGGGTTTGTGAATTGCCTCACAGTTTTCGCGTTGGTATTTCAAGATATAATCAATGCCCGTCTGAATAGCGTCATACAAACGAGTTGAGTTTTGCCTATGATAATTCAAGTTGATAACAGCTTGTTCGAACTTATCCGTGTCTTGTGTGATTGGACACACTATTCTAATTTGAGAGCCGAATTGAATAAGTCCAAAAGCATGCTCATAGAGTGACGATTCAAGATTTTGACTGAGTATATTAAGTATTGAATTGACATTTCGTCTTGATGTGGGCTGGTCACTTTTCTCAACATGTTGGTACAACGTGAATTCACTTACCTCGAGTAATATTAGTGTAATCTGATCAATTGGTCTTGTCAATATCAAACGAGAATCTTGTTGAACACGACAAATACGTAACCAAGACTGTAACAAGATGGGTAGCGGATTGATGTTTGGTCCATCTCGATGTATATCATAAATATCCTTATTTGTCACACGATCTCTTGATCTCATTGGATCAAACAAATATATAAGTTTACTGATTTTTGTAGCTTCCTTATGTTGCTCGTGACAGAATGCTAGACAAATCTGTTTATCTTTTAATAGAACAATTTGATCATGTATGCCACTGCGAATATCTTTGCGAGTCTTTAATAGGAACATTGGATAATCGGACACCATCTTGTCGAACAATTCCATTAATTGTGAATGAGTTAATCTCTTCATGTATTTAACAGATGGTGCTTGAGTCTGTTTAAGAACGGTGTACACTCTTGCATCACAATGAGAACTGACAGCATATTGTGAAACATTCTTCAAATGATTGATGAAAAACAATAAATCGGTTTGACTTGTGATTTTTCTCTCGTTCATTATCGTTCGTTCACAAAGAATACTTGAGTCTTCATCAAAACTACCTTTAGTTGCAGAGTTGTCAATATGGTAACTTTCTTCGTCCTTTATACAACGGCTAAGATCGTAACTAGTAAATGACTGGACCTCACCATCTATGTTGACACATTGTTCCAATAACCAGCAGATTAGATTAGGCATGAAAGTGCCCAGTATAGTTGGTTCAATATCTTCTGGACAAAATTCACGGAGAAGATATAACAATGCATCGGAGAGAACAGCTTTTTCAAATGCAAACATTTTACTTTGTAATGCATGTACGAGCGCCGTTACCGCAGGTAGAAAAAAATACTGTTGAATAAGGATGAAGAACTTCACTTCAAGTTGCTGACGTCGATGAGCTTCATCTTTCGGTGGCTGTCGAAAATATTGGCGAAGAGCAAAGAGACTCGTGAGAATCATACTTTGGGCTACTGAATCTTGAGGCGCTGGAAAAGCATGGGCAATCCACCAGTGAGAATGGGCGAATATTTCTCTTGGTTCTTTCTGGTATGCATAAATATACTCAGATTCTGTCTGTGGAAGAAAATATATGAAAAAATGCAGATTTTGTTCATCTATCGAGGACGATTTAAATTGAAGAAAACTTTCCAAAGCTTCATTATCGATTCTGATGTCACTGAATATATGCATCCGATTATTAAAGAGTAATGGAAATATTCTTTTAGTTTCAGTGTACGCTGTTTCATTTTTACAAATATCATCAATAGACTGCCATAGGTTTTGTAGTGTCGCAGTTGCGTGAACCCGCATAGTATACACCTTGGTAAGCGATACTACTTTCACAATGACTGACTGCTCACCAGAGCTGATCCCGTCTTTGAAAACAGTATCTTGAACTACTGAATTCCGTCCCATATGTAATGGAAGTTGGAACTCATCACGTAAGTGATTACTTTGAGTCGTGTCCACTCTGTGACACATTTCTGATTTTAGAGTAGCAGTTGAAGTAGTATATGGTATCACTTCCTCAGCATTGACCATCGCTTCAATACTGGATCGTCCAAAATCATCAGTAATTATAGAAGATGTACGATTTGAAAAATGTTCAACAACAGTGGCTGTCGGATTAGCTATTTGAAGAATATGATTATCCGCATACATTTTACTCATAAGTTTTTTACTTTGTCGGTTTCCATCTCCTTTAGTGTCAGTTCTGGGCGATACTGATCGCCAGTGTTGATCAGTCCAAGCATTGTACATTACTGCCGTGTTGTGTGATTCAGTACGTATTTTATCCCCGACAGAAGTATCAGTGAGGTCTATTCGAGGTATTTCAGATACTAGTATAGGTTGAGTAGAAATTGAGCATTCATCTTCAATAAGATGAGACTTGGGACGTATTCGCAGCGGTTGAGCCGAGTCAATGCGTTGATCAATGAAAGATGAATTAGATGGTAGTATGGCTCCCTTGTATGTTAAATCAAAATCGTATTCAATTTTGAATATGCGTCGAATTTCTTGTTCAATCGATGAAATTGATGCATATGCATTCTGTAATGTTCTTCGATAAAGTTTATCGTTGATGACAATTGTGTAAACTGCTGAAGAAGAAGGAAAGCTCAACACCATGACGAAAAATTGTTTAATTTGATTATCTAGAATTATTATAAAATTTTCCTTGAACAGCAGTACTCTAAGATGCGACGATCATATCAGCAGTGCTATTGATTTCGGATTGCATTACTAAAGTGCACATTAGCAAATAAATGGAAAATGAACAACAATAGCTTAGTAACTGTAAATCACTATCAAGTTTGAAAAAAATATTTTTGAGATCCCGCATTGGAAACTAGAAAATGCAACGAATTGTGGAAAATAGCTCTGTAATTAAAGAGTGGGAAGCCACAAAATTTTGCCTTCAAAGCTTATACTCACTATTTTCTTCGAAAATATATGTGAGTTCCACAAAAAGACAAAAGCATGTGTAGGATATTGCCTCTATTCACCGATTCAGTGTAATGTATTAAAATATTCTTTTATATTATTTTACATTAAGTTTTGCAATAATTTTAGGTTCAACGATTGTTTCTCGGTTGTAAAATTTTCATTAAAAAAAAAGCCGCAAAAATTTTGTCGCATCCGGTTATTCTAGTTTTACGCATTGAGTCCTACAGAAGTAACCAAAAGAATTTTTCCATAAGGAAAGCAGTCGAGAAAGCCTATGATGATTGAAGATTTCCCTTCTTTTCTTCATTGAGAAAATCAGATTTTTTTCAGCTTTATATGAAAAAACAGCGTGGAAAACATTCTAACTAATTGTTATATATGTAGCTCGATGGACTCTATTCAACCACATTCACATAGCGAAGAGGAAATTCTCCTCAAGTTTGAAGTTGAACACATCTAAGAATCACTAGGCCAAAGCTACTCGGTAGTAGAAAAGAGATGTACAATAATGCAAGTTAAACGAGCAATTCTTCAAAACGCTTACAATAGTCTGTTTATGTTGCATAAGAATACATTTTGCGCCAAATAAAAACATCAAATTTGAGTGACTACTTTTTGGCGAAGGAAGAATAAAGGCCACCTTTCTTTTCTCTATTGGTAGACGTGTGCGAAGTTAATCCCATTTCTGAAAAGTAAACAGAGTTGGCCAACACTATAATGGTCTTTTATTTAAGCATTCACAACATCACTAGAAAAAAATAAGCATTCAACAGACGCCGACTAACTTCTTTCTAAAATAAAATCAATGCATTGACGTTTACTTTGTCGAAACACAATGGTAACGTCAACATAAACTGTGTTGAATCGAAATCCTAGATATATAGCTGTACAAAATAATGCGTCAAGAAATTCGACTGGCGTGATTCGAGTTTTGTTTCACTTTAAATTGAATTTGATATTAAAAATTTGTTGAACGAACATATGGAAAATCTATCTTATTCGAATCCTTTGTAGAAATACTTTTTGAAGTAAATAGTCGTTAATAATGGATGATTTCCGATGTAACAATCTCTTGTGTTTTTATCTTTACTATTTATTCAATCTTTTCTTTGACCTCCACTCATACATAGTGTATGATGGATGTTTGCAACTACTTTCACATCGTTGTGATGATAATTTTTACTAGATTCTGTAAATAATAGGAAGTACGATGATAGTTTATTGAACGCATCAGATAAAAATTAATCAACAACAATAACATTTTATCATGTTTGATTTTGTTTAGTCAATGATAATGACTTTGATACATGAACTATTGCTGGACAAACAGCTTGAAAGAAGAGTCAACTTCAATAAAAATGTTAGCAACAGTAAAGACGAGAGATATGGTTGAAATAGCATCTCTAAGAGCAGTTAATAGTTCTGGTTTAGGTATTTATCCATTATTTTTGTTTTGACATAATATATTATATTTACTCATGAGACACCAGAAAGAAACTCCTATTATTGTATGAATAAAAGCAAAATTTTAAACACTAATTTCTGTTCTCTAGATAAGTTATTTTAGCTTTGTATCTATTGACCATAGCAACAATCTTCAGTCGAGAAGGAAACATGGATTTATTCGTCTGCAATTCAGTCTGCTATATTAATTGAAAAATGATAACACACAATAGTCTTCGGGAACGTCAGCCGATATTGCATTGTTCGTCTTATAGGTGGCACTAGATATGCGTTATATAATTGAATAGCAAAAGAAGAAAAATCAGTTGATATTTTAACCACTATGACTCAAAGAACTGTTCACTTACTCGATTTACCTGACGAAATATTACTTATTATTATGAAAAAACTCCGTTCCATAGATGCTCTTTATTCATTGTTAGGTGTTAATAGGCGGCTTGATCGAATGGCAAGAAGTATTGACAGAACTAAGTTTATAAAATTTTCGTTTATGTCAAACTATCAACTCTCTTCAATTGATGATGTTAAACTTAATCGATTCTGTTATGAAATATTGCCCAAAATAAATTGTAAGATTGTAGGACTTAGTCTTGCATTACATTCTATGGAACGTATTCTGCTTGCTAGTCAATATCCTAATCTTACAGTGCTTGTCATTGCAATTGATTCACCGAACATACTTTTAAATTATTTAACAGGTAAACAATAGTCTTTGATCATCATCATATAATCAATATTTATTTAATCATATTATTAGAGGAATCACCAATCGCTTGTTTGTTACAAAAGCAGATCAGAGACATTACTGTTATGACTACACATGAAGTGTTTACCAATGAATTGTTTACAAATACATGTGTGGGTATTCTTGCCATCTGTACAAACTTGTTTCATTTGAATATGAATCGATGGATAAAAGGCGATACTACTCAACTTTCACTTTGTCAACAACCGCTGAATATTTGTTGTTCTTCACGTTTGCGTAATCTATCTATTAAGGTGGAAACTTTTGATGATTGTCTTTGTTTACTGGATGGTCGTCTGGATAACTTATCTTCATTCACTGTAAACATTAATTTTATCAAGAGATCATCAATATTTGCTGATAGTCAAGTAGGTATAATTTTATTTAGAGTCCAATATATGTATTATAAGCATTATGAATAGACTATGTTACGTAGATTATTTCATTTTTTGTTTTTATTTTATTTTTTTTAGAAAGTTTTATCTAATCTAAAAGAATTCTCTTTGACTAGTGTTATGCATACAAATGCTTATGATTGTCGAATATTGTCACTTCTTCGTCGAATGCCAAATTTGAATAAACTGACACTATCACTTAATGTAATGCGATTAACAGTTATTGATGGTATTCATCTTGATGAAAAAATTCTTATTCATATGTTATATTTAAATACATTCATATTTCACATTTGTACAATCATATCGACTTCAGAAACCAATTATTTCTTATCACCTAATTATATTCGAAATACATTTAATAATTGGAAATATTCGCCAGTTAGTTGTTATATAGATCATTTTTCAGATGGATTTACTTATTGTAATATTTATTCAATAACATGTCAAATGACTCGTTTCATGCATCTTACTAATAGTTCTCGTGGTTATCATTTTCAATTTGTTACCTATTTAACGTTGTACGATATATGTCCATTTGAACATGATTTTTTTGAATGGATATCTCGAGCTTTTCCATTACTTGAATACTTGTTAATCCATAATTCCATACCACAAGAAAATAAATGTGAAATGGAATCAATTCATAACAAAAAAATGTATTCAAATATATCATATTTACATCTAACTCGACTTCGTCTTGATGATGCGCATATTGATTATGCTGATCAATTTCTACGTCATACAAATGCATATGTTCCACGTCTTCAATCACTTGGAATACAATACGAAAAATTAGTTACTGTTACGAACAATTTTACAAATAATGTAACACGACTCAATTGTAGTAAAATCAAGCAAGTCATATTTGATGAATTACTTGTTCATTCAGAACATTTTTATCTTTTTTTTCCTTCTTTGATAAAATAATTTTATTAAAAAATTCATCTATCATTGAAATAAAATCGATGAAATCAATACATCTAATTGACATGTTTAATAGAATAAATGAAAAGCTATGTATTTCCATGTTTTTTATTTAAGGAGAGCAGCATCTATGACTTTATCTCTATGATCTATTTCACCGTTGAACAACCATGGACATTTTTTGAATACCTTTGGGATGTGGGTGGAAATGCTAGCTTTTTCTTCAATCATCATTGCATTGATAGACACCCACATTCACACCCAAAATCGATATTTATGTCGAAGAACTAAATGATAGATCTTAAAATTCTTTTCAGTTGATCTATTTGGATTTAAACCATCGTTCTGATGGAAGTACTACTAAAATAAAGATTTAATAGAGCATTTTGAAAGTATTGAAGCATTATAATCAAAATAGATTCTATTGACGATTTTTAATAAAAATTTTAGTAGAAAAAACAAATTCCAACGACTAATAAAACATATCATAAAGACAAAGGGGGCTAAAAAAAACTTTCAAAATATATTAAAATAATCTTCAAAACTCATCATGTATCTAAGAAGAAAAGTGACTGACATTTTTCATGGACTTCATAAAATGGTAGAGCTATGTCATCTCTAGATAGTACTAAAACCTGAGTTATTTCTCTCTTTTTATTTCAAACCTTTCAAAAATTGCCCATAACCATGTTACTTGGAAATGAACTTTAGTTCAATATCGATTGCTCTTTGGATATAAGAGATAGGTTTTATTTTGTTCTTGCAAAACTTGAGTCAATTAGTAATAGTTCTTCCGATCATATTATGGATTGTGATTTATAATTTCCTGATATGGAAAAACGTATTATACCTAAATCAACGAACAATTTCGAAATCTTTGTTACAAGATTCTAAGCCAATTCAAAACAGAAAAGAATAGTGTTAATTAACTAGGTTCTTCTAAAAAACGTTACTTTCTCACACCCATAATGCATGATGGATGTTTTGTTGATCGATTTTCAAACAATGATAAATACAGTTGTAACTTATGAATCAATGTAAATCTATTTTGGATCTTTCAAAAAAATATTCAAACAATGGATTTGGATCATTCAACAATTGATGAGTTATCAATTCTTACGATGAAGCATTAAGATAGGTGATCTTTTAAGCTCGCCGGGAATCATAAATTGTTCGCTTATTTAGTTTTTTTAAGTATTCTGTAATGGAATTAAATCCTTTTGTTTGCAACATATGATTGAGAAATCTGTTTTTTTTTGTACTATTTGCTTTGACATTTACAGACGATTCTATCCTTAAAAATTTATTGTTTTGATCACTTTGAGTAACGTTGCAATTTTTTAAAAATTTACTGGTTGAAAATCGTTTGATCGTGATAATGATGACGTTTTTAACCGTTATACAATTTTTATCAGTTTAAAAAAGGTAATATATTTAATTTACTTCGACACTTTAATTATCTTTCTCTGTTCACATACCAACACATAGTTGATTCAAAGTAAAGTAATTTTTGGCCAATTCAGCTCGTATTTTGATCATGTCTTCTCTCATAATATAACGCCTGATTTTTTTAATTGATGCCCATTCGAAGAAATTCAATGAGATCTGTAATTGTATATCGCACTATTGCAGAATATAGTTACCTGTTTCGCTTTCTATGATTCTATGCATCTCTAGTTGCGATATTAAACTAATTAGTAATTAATGATTTATTTCATGAGAATTAAAAGGAATACAATGAAATGGTGAAGATAATATTGTAGACTTAACAAAATTACAATGAAAAGATGAAGAAATGGAACGTTGGTTTCACCATGAATGTATTTAAATAAATAATCATACAATTACAATTACATTAGACAACAGATACACATTGGACAAAATAAATAGAAACAACAACTATATACGAAGTTTTAATTTGATGTCATAATTTCAATCTTCATGTGATATAAGAATTGAAACTCTTCTTATAAGCAAGACTCATTCATACACATATTCATGCGCCTGGTTGTTGGATCACGAGCGCGTTCAATCGTATGAACTCGATTGTGAGAATAGCATGATGACATTTTAATAATTAATTGAATAAATTCTTTTCTAAAGGCACGAGCCGAAAAAAAATACAAGAAAAATGGTGTTGCATAGGTAATTTGAAATACAACTCGACAAATGAAAAAAATCGAGTAAAAACTTGATGTTGGTTGATAAATGCTGGGAAAAGATAAAGGTAGACTGACTGCACATATTGGTAAAGTGAGCAATAATTGAACACCTACTTGAACAAGAAGCATTCGAACAAGTTGATTTTCAGTTCGGCGATAATTTGACGATCTTGAAAGCATCATGCGATATCGTTTTACATTGCATATAGTCATACAACCAAAGAATAACATGAGAAAAGGTGCTAAACAAGAGAAAAGTATAAATTGAAAGATACCGTACACCTGAACAAAAACTGAATTTCCTCGAATACGACAGCCAACTGCCTCGTTCGTATCTATATTAGCCGTTACGAGTGATATGATAAACAAGAATGAAAAAAATATAATAATAATAATGATCAGCCATTTAGCTGTGCGGACATTACTGAAGGTACGCCGTTGGGCATTTGATGAACTCATACACCATCTGTCGATTGACGCGAGTACAATGAAAGATAATGATAATGCCGATAGAAGACTACCAAAATAAGTAACGAGTTTACATGAGATTAACGATCGAATACTTAATTTTATTTGATATCCATCACCCAATAGACTAACTACGAGAATACTGGTCGAATATATTAAATTATTCAGAGAAAGTGAAATAAAATAAAGAGAGCATGCATGCTTTCGGATTTTAGATTGACCAAGTGTAGCTATGTTCAATGAATTGCCTATCAGACTGGCAAAGACAATCATAGGAAGTCCTATTTTAGAAAAATAAATACTGATTTTCCCTAATAAATCAGACATGGTTTTTTCGATGTAACTATAAAACGCATGAATGTTTTCTTATGGATAACACTTCCTAATAACACAAGACATCATTATTGACGTTTTTTTCCCTTATAAATATTATCTTTGAGAAAGGTATCAGACTTCTTCTAATTAAAAAACTACTTGCTTTTTGATGATATTGTCAAAGGTAATATAATCTGCAAACGATAAGCTGATGAGCAAATGTAATTGTACGAAACAGACAAAAGATAATTAGAAAGATGAGCCTCAAAACTGGAAATACTAGAACTTGTTGTATTTGATAATATGTGAATCAAAGAAAAGAAATTTTTGAAATTCAGAGTGTCTAATAATCACACAGGAGCGTAGCCATCAATTTTTCAAGAAAGGTGCACACCAGTAGGAGAATAATTTTTTGTTTTGTAAAAAGATTTTTTATCCGTACATATTACATCTTATAAAACCGAAAGGTATGAATTCCGCATAGCGCTTGTTAACCTTTCTCTAACAAATAAAAATTGCGAACACCAATCGGAACTTGTTGATCGATTTCGGTAAACCATTAACCATTTGCCCATAAAAATCAGACTGATACCTGATAATGAACTGGCCAGCTTTCTTTCAGATTAAGATTTTGAGTTCAACCAGCTGATTTTTACAAATAAGCAAGCTCAATAAATTCTTCTGTTTTTCTCGAAAACTTTTCTAGAGGAAAATTTGTTTTTTTTTAATTTAAGCAGAAATAGAAATATTCTGCTTGAATCAAAATTAATTGAAGTTTCGAAGAACGAGTCTATCGCATATTGAGTTGTTATGTTAAAATAATAATAAAAATATTAATATTCATTTTGTCACTGAATCAACCGTCAAAATATTTTTCTGAGGGAATGTTTTTATTAAAATTCATTTTGGTTATATGTTGGTGAGCTTTTGAGTCTTCTTGCAGCGTTAACTTGGCTTTGATTATCAGCCATGAAGTAATGTCAATGTCATTTTTTTGCAAGGAAAAAAAATAGAAATTGATTGCTTGTGTGTATTCGCTTCGAGAATATAGAAATATGCGCAATTAAAAATAGAAAACCCAGTATGGAGTAAAAAGTTTCTCAATAAAACGTATAGAGTACTTATGATATAAAAAAATGCCTTGTATGAATTTATGGAGGACGTACATTGAAGCGATTAATAGCCTATTATTGAATCAATTCTTTGTCCTATATATTAGGCCTGCTCGATCTAAAATACTAGTATTTGCCACTTGCTAATAATTTAACAGAAAATTAGAAATACTAATAGTATTTTCGTAACTTCTCTCATTCTCATCCTTGTGACTCTCATAGTCATCTCGCTTGCCAGCAAGCCGAGGTTAAAACGAAAGCTAGCGTCCACTGCTTGTTCTTTTTTCTCATCACTGCTTGCAGTGTACACTATCTTTCTTTTTACTCACATGCCCACACTTAATTGCCATATTACAAATAGAAAATGAATATGTTCTTTTTTACCTTTAGATTCATATCGATTACATATAGATAGGGAGTTATATAGTACAGAGAAAATTAATATTTTCTTTTTTTCTATTTAGCTGTGTATTGACGAAACACAAATGGTAATGTGTATGAAAAATAATGAATTACTTCTTTTCACATTTGGGTTCTTCTCTCAGCGTCGTTCGAAACATATTGTTTAGTGAAATTCTCGATGGAGTTTTATGATGCCTTTCAAGGTTGCAAAATCTGTTCAGTCGTCTTTAAGGTTTACATGAGCACGAAAACCTAAAGTTTGTTTATGAGATTAGCATCCTATGTAAAAGAAAAAGTGGAAGAAAACCACTTTGACATACTTTTAATATTAATAAAGTACAAAAAAAGTAACTTTTTCTTAGTATTTTTCACTTTTTCTAGTGCATTTCACTACTTTTCTCAGTTTCAGAATTACTTAGTAGTACTTTCTGGATTTCCGAAATATTCTATGTTATTTGTTTTACTTTTCAAAATACTAAACAGTACTTTTAGTATTTATGACGCATTTATGATTAATTTTTCAAATTTTCAACGTACTCTATAG